CGCAAAAGGTGATCCCATGAACATGGGACTCAGCAACGATGGTAAGTATGAACCAGTTGCCGAGCACCTGAATTTTTCAGTGCCGCTGTGACTCTGAACAGTCACTAAACCAGTGTTTCTCAACCTTGGCGACTTTAAGTCCTGTGGACTTCAACTCCCCAGCTGGCTGGGGAATTCTGGGAGTTGAAGTCCACAGGACTTAAAGTCGCCAAGGTTGAGAAACACTGGTTTAGTGACTGTTCAGAGTCACAGCGGCACTGAAAAATTCAGGTGCTCGGCAACTGGTTCATACTTACCATCGTTGCTGAGTCCCATGTTCATGGGATCACCTTTTGCGGCCTTCTCACAAGCAAAGTCAATGGAGAACCCAGGTTCATTTAACAACCGGGTTACTAACTAAATTACCAACTGCAATGATTCACTTAACAACTGTGGCAAGAAAAGTCATAAAATGGGGCAAAGCTCACTTAACAAATGTCTCCCTTAACAATGGGAACATTGGATTCAGTTGTGGTCGTAAGTTAAGGACTACTTGTATCTGACAGTAGGAAAAAAACTGCCCTGTTTTGTCTAACACTAAGGTTGGAACTGATGAGTCTCATAAGAACATTGTTATTGCAATGCTGACGAACATAACCTGATCCATCACAAGACCCTCACTTGACATACCCACACCTGAAGCCCTTATAAACAGAAGAACACTGAAATCCCCTAAACCAGGGATCAGCAACCCACAGCTCTAGAGCTGCATGTAGCTCTTTCACCCCTCTGCTGTGGCTCCCTGATGCCAGTCGGCTTCACAATTGATAGGGCTTTTGGTTGAGATAGGTAGAGGAAAAAGGGTGCCCTGCTAGGAGGAGACTCTATGGTAGGGGAACCAGACTTCCAGCCAGCTCCAGAATTGAACCGGGAGTGAAGGCTTCCGGTTAGGACCTTTGGGCTCTTTGAGTGTTTAAGGTTGCCGCCCCCTGCCCTAAACTCTGTTGAAGATGTTACCTGGCCTGGTAAAGAAATGTTTGGAAACCAACCAACAAGCTCAGAGAGCAAACTTTCACCCTCAAACATTGTTACTTTAGAGAGTTAATTTGAAACACAAATCCATAGAATTTATCTTACCATGTCTGAAAAACATCTGAGCACATGAAGAGGACAGAAAGCAGGACAGTTGGATTCCAAATCTTTCTGTGCCATCAGTTAACCTGAAATCTGGCAATAGCAGTAATATAGGGACATTTTTGGGAGGGAGGTGGTGGAGGTTTCAAGTTTGTTTTTGAGTCCGGGCAACTGCCTGGACAAGTTGCTGCAGTTTTTTCCCCCCAAGGCTTTTAAAAAATGCTGGCTCCTTCCTAAATCTGAGAGAGATTGACAGACCAAAGGTCACCCCACTGACTTTGTACTTAAGGCAGAATTGAACTGAATCTCTCCTTTCTACCATAAGGTAAAGGTTCCCCTCACACTTGTGCTAGTCATTTCCAGTTCTAGGGGTGGTGCTCATCTTTGTTTCAAAGCTGAAGAGCCAGCGCTGTCAGAAGATGTCTCTGAGGTCATGTGGCCTGAATGACTCAGTGCCAAAGGCACAGAGAACACTGTTATCTTCCCACCAAAGGTGGTTCCTGTTTTTCTACTTCCATTTTTACATGCTTTCGAACTGCTAGGTTGGCAGAAGCTGAGACAAGTCACGGGATCTCACTGCATTGAATCCCTAGTGGCGCTAGGGATTCAAACAGCTGAACTGCCGACCTTCAATGTCTTAGCCACTGAGCCCCTATTTCCTACAGTGCTTCTTTCTAAATGTTCTACCTGCATGATCAAACGACTTCTTTTCATCCACCACTATCGTGTAAAACAGAACAATACTAGTACATTCATACCACAGACTGGAGTAACTGTGGCTGGAACAGTGACTTGCTTGTCTGTGCGTCCAGGAGCCCTAATCTGAAGCCTTGGATGAGGGGGCAGAGGTCCTTCTCCCATCAGGTACAGAAGGCAGTTTATCAAAACTCAATCCAAGGTCCTCTGACAGAAGGTCTCTTTGTAGCTGGAAAAGACAGAAAGCTTTGCAAATAAATCAGTGAAATAACAGGACAAAGTCCCGAGTACCATTTATGGAATGAGTAGGAGAGCCACATTAGTCTATAGTAACACAAAAAATAAAATAAAAAACCAGTAAGTTCCTATGGCACCTTTTCCAGCTAATAAAGTTCATTAAGAGATATAAGGTATTGTGAGCTGCCATTCATGAAAACCTATACCTTTTATTAACATTTGCTGGTTGGAAAAGGTGTGGCCAGACTTCTGATTTTATGGACGAATGAAAGATAGATGGATGGATGGATGGATGGATGGATGGATGGATGGATGGATGGATGGATGGATGGATGGATGGATGGAAAGGTGGGTGGGTGAGTGGACAGACAGGCAGGCACAAAGAGCAGAAGTCATCTCAAAGGAAAAGGATCACCCCAAACCATTTGTAAATGAAGATCATCAGAACTCCTTGGTTTCAAAGTGGCCATATTAACCTAGTGCGTGCAGCCGTGGTTTGCTTAACCTCGGCTTATAAATAAAGATACTCGTTGTATTCCTGAAAGAAAACAGAGGACGTTCTGATTCAACGCGAAACTAGTTCCTAGAAACGTCCTTTCTGACTAGTCACTTCTCCCTTTCAATCTCGCCTTGCAAGGTTTTGGCCAGCCCCGCTAAAGCTCGGGATTCGTTCTTCGATCCCAATCAACGTGAGGAACCGCAATACTAGTCCAAGCATGTTGCGTTCAAACAGCCGAAATCCCCACCCCACCCCACCCCCGCCTCCCTCGTTCTCTTTGGGGTCTTGTTTCTCGTCTCGCTTCCTGTCCCAAGTCGCCAGTTTCACCTGTCGGTGACGTCATCACGGGATGGGAGGGGTGTGGTTTGGGGAGGGATGAGGGGGACGAGAGGGGTATATAGCTGGCCCCATATAGAAAGGTGCGTGCATTTATCCTTTGCAGCGTCGTATCCGGCTGTGGAAACGAACTTGAAACTTTATCTCTAACTGAACAGGTAAGAGTCGGGTCTTGATGAGGGAGAAGGAATATTTGGCTTTCCTGGTATGAACGGAATACCACACACACATATATACATATACACACAGAGAGAGCGAGTATATAGATATATATACGCACTGTATATATATTTAAATGCTCGCATTTGTATATTGCAGCGGTGGCGATCATCTAGCGATATGAAAACTGAGTTTCATCAGTCTTGAAAACTTTTGGATCAGGGGGCAGTGTTTGCTGTGTGTAGAAGTGGCGCCAAAACACCTTTGTTATGCCTCCAATCTTAAGAGGCTTTAAAAGAGAGGAGGGAGACTCGAACCCGACACCTGTTCTCTATTCCAGCTCAGAAGAGCCTCGTGTTACTAGCGGGGCGTTTAGGACAACCTGCTGTTTTGAGAGCCAGGGAGCGCCAAGGCGCGCTGGTGCCTAATGGATCTGGGTTGGTTTCTACTTATCCCAAATGTACTTTGCGGGAGGGGGAGTTAATCCCAAATTCTAACCAGCTGTATTGAATACGGTCATCGTTCATCTTCATTTATTTATTTGCTTCCTATATTTACTGGATTTATATCTCCTCCCATCTCTAATTCATGAGTCTGGGCGGCTAGTAATATTCAAGATAATTAAAAAAAGTATCCCGAAAAAAAACATGCAGCCGCCAAGATTCGGGAATTGAAACTCAAGTGATCTTCCTTCTATAGGACAAAAAACTATTTTAATCCCAACTGGTGGGTTTCGGACAAAAGATCCCGAATATCCATCCCCCCGTCGAGTTTATTTTCCCTTTCCTTTCTCTCGTCTTTTAAGATCCTGCCATAAAGCGGGACTAACGCAAGGTAGAAGTAGGAGAATTTCCTTTCCTTTCCTTAGGAGTACAAAACGACAGGTGTACGGGGGGGGGGGGGGAATCGTGCAGTGGGCAATTGCATAAAAACCTGGCTCACTGCGGTCTTCTCTTTCCCCCATGGACGAGACAGCCGCCCTTCTCTTTCTTGATCGGGGAGAGGGTTGGGTGGCGCCCTGAAGTTTTGATGGCGCGCGCTAGTTTTGCAGAAGGAAAAAAAAAACCCTTTCGCCCTCGAGATGGGAGGAGGGGGGGCGAGTTTCGGTTGAAGGGCAAGAAAAAGACCGCAGGGCGTCCCCGCCCTCTTGTCGTCCCCCCCCACCTGAGCCCCGCCCGAAACCACGGGGGGGGGGAACCTTTGTTCTCTGGAGCGTAGCCACTCGGTGACCGTGTGTCGCTTTTTCCTTGGAAGTTGGGCAGGTGAACTAGTGAGATTGGGGTGACGGTTGGCGAAGGTTCCCTTAACTCCCTGTAAATAATTATTTTCTTCCCGCCCTAAGAAAAGGATGCCTAAAGCTAAGGATGAAATCTTGAGTATTTCTTTAGTTGCCTCCACCACACAGACACAGCCAGCCACTCGCAAATAAATAACTTATTCTGAATAAGTCAGGAAAAACAAAGGCCAGGGCCAATCCCCAGAATAACGATGCAAGATCCAATTTGGGTGGTTCATGGGGACCAGAGATTTAATCTTCTGATCTTCCAGACTCATGCTGGAGCCCATTTTTCAGGGAACTTCGCATGTATTTGCACAACCTATTGAGAAAAACTATGTCAGGTTATTTTTTTTAAAATGGATTTAATTGAGTAAACTGAATTCTGGCGATGTGCATCTTGAAATTTAGCTCCCTGTGCCTGTTTGAAGTGGACTGTAGAGATGGTTTCGGAAAGTGAATATCTTTCTGAGACAAGTTGGGGAAGAAACCTCCAGGGAACAAATACTTTGATTCCTCTGAAATATTTCAGAGCCCTAAAGAAGAAATCCCAAGTTCTGTTTTGCAGTTATTTATTTAGTGTATATCATATCATACATGGACTAGTACAATATATTAAGGTTTCATATAGATTAATAAAACTCTTTTTCTGTTTTGCAGTTTCTCTGCTTCCTAGAAATGGTGTTAGCTGGGATTAAAAAAAGAGCTAGGCATAAACTCTTATATTAAGTGTTATACAGAAGTATTGCAACAGGTGAATTCTTATACACTTGTAGCTTTAAGCAATGACACGCCTGTCTGAATAGCCATCCTGCCTCTGAACCCTAAGCTAAATGGAAGAGTTGGCCCAGTGCTGTATAGCAGTGATGTTCTTCCCATCAGAAATAATAGAGCCCCTCTTAACTGAACCGGGCTTCCTTCTTGAACAAAGGATGGTGACCATCCCTCTTTGTTACAAGCAACGGTTACAAAGATATTATTGGCTGTTCTAGTTAAGACTAAGTGAGATGGTTTAATCTGTTGAATGAGCTTTAACCAAGGAATGGCATCCTATTCTACTTCTGAATTTTGTCTTTTGAATTTTTTTAACAATTGACCTTGTTCGTAGATTGGATAAGTAGAATGGGGTGCCATTTTACGTACAAACAAAAAGAGATGACGTGGAACTGATCCTGCCCCCATGATGTAAAACGATACAATTTTGTAGTCTTAACTGAATTTTGCATTGACTATTAAATTGAACTCTCCTGAACTTGAGAGACAATATGAAACAGTGATTAAGAGGCATGGTTCAAATCTCCATTTAAATATTAAGCACTGAATAACCAGTATAGCTAACTCTGGCTTACCAATTTACCACACAGAGTTATTGTTAAGAGAGAAAAATAACTGTGTATACCTCACTGAGCTCCCAAAGACAAAGTCAGGTATAAATAGAATATTGTGGCAAAAGCAGTGGTCATGTTGACATGACACATTGAGGTACAAGTTAGCCAACCAGTTTGTAAAATATTATGTTGTCCAAATTGAAACCCATGTGATTAGTTCATGGTATAGTTCATGAATCCAGAAATGAGATTAATTGCATAAATAGCCATTCAGTTAACTGTGGGTATAAGCATATTGTGGGAACATATCCAGTGGGGAAGCTGTCATCTTCTGGGTAGACAGCATTCAATCTCTTTTCAGATTAAAAACAGGGAACTATTTTGAGCTCTGTAAAATGAGAGAAGCTCTTTATGCTTCTCTCATTTTCCCTCATGGAAAAAAATCTCTGGAAGAAACATCATGGGCTTCATGAAAGCTTGTGCTTTTTAACCAAGTGTGTTAGTAAAAAAAAAAAAAGTGCTTCCAGATTCCTGACTTTGTGGTACCATGGTCTAACATGGCTCTCCTCCCACAACGATTGGAAGAAATTGCAACCTACCTGGAGGAAGACTGGTGTATTTCAGCCTAGGGAGTGGGGAAAGCGGGAAGACTGTAAATACATATCTATCTTTTCTGTCCAAATACATCTATTTGGACAGCGGAGATTAGAATTAAGGAGTTTGGTTTACCAAGAAGCAACTTTATTGAAGTTATTTCTTGAGAACAACTATAAGTGACCTGGGTATGGAGGGATGGAGAATATAACAATATAATTGCATTGTTATACCTGTAGGAGATAAATTATATGTACGCAAAATGCTTTTGAGTGAGCACTATAGATAAGAGTGCTTTATAGTCAGCCAAACAATTCAGAAACAAGAAACACACATAAACACACAGCGTATAAAACAATCAAAAAGATCACTTATATAGAGACAACCAAGATCCCACAAATAGATGTAGTCCTCTACTTATAACCACAGTTGGAACCAGAACTTCCATTGTTAGTGATGCATTTGTTAAGCGAGTTACAGCCCATTTTGCTACCTTTTTTTGCAGTCATTAAGCAAATCTGGCATTCCCCAATTATGTGTCAGAAGCCCCCAGGTAAGTCACAAATAGCAATGGCATGATTATGGGTACAAGGGATGGTCATAAGCATGAGGACCAGTTGTAAGCAAGTTCTCAGTATTGACATAACTTTTAATAGTTGTAAGTTCGAGGACAACCTGTGCATAAATACATAAATATATAATTACTAGGAAGAACCACTTCAGTATATAAACAGCCTGAACAGATAAAGCTCATAGTGAACTTCAGCTGCTCTTGGATGTTAAGCAGCAGTATTAGCTCTGCTTAGGACTCGGATGGGGCTGTTGAGTAAACAGAAAAAATTCCTGGAAGAAAACTGGGTAAGAAACTCTTCTCCGGCTTAGATTATTTTACAGATTTTAAGGACGGTTTATGTACATGGAGGTCTATAAACACTTTAGATAATGTTGCAATCAGACCAGAGTATGCAGAAATTGGAGGAAAACGTCACCACCACCACCTCTGATGAGGCGCAAGATACTGTCTAGTACAGTGTTTCTCAACTTGGTGGCTTGATGTTGTGTGGACTTCAACTTTCAGAAATTCCCAGCCACCCATGAATTTTGGAGTTGAAGTCCATATATCTTTAAACCTCCAAGATTGAGAAATGCTGGTCTAGTAGATAGCAGTATCACTGAAACAAAACAGCGAAGTGGTTGGTCTTTTTACCCAAGGACCAAAGGTTTCAGTGGGAGCCTTCAATAAGACAATTCATTTGTGTTCTTTTCCTATACTTCATCCCCCCCCCACAAAAAAAACAACCCACCCTGTTTTTATGTGCACCAGCGATTTTCATTGATAAAGTAGCCTAATTGCAAATTTTTGTCAAAGGCTCCAAAAATGATGAAAGACAGTAGTGGAAATGATTCACTTCACAGAGTCCCTCAGCATCCATTTCCAATCTCAGTGTCTCAGTAATTAAAACTGAGGGTCATTCTTTTTTTAAAAAAAGTTATTCTGCCCATTGATTTGGGGCAACCTGATCTTGGGATGCTGTTTGTCCTGCCTGTGAGTTGAAAGTCTTGGAACAAAGAAAACAATTAGGACAATCACTCAAACAAAACAAAACAAAAGTGTTTTTGTTTCAATTAGACATTGCAAATAGCCTGCCATATAAGGGGATGAAATTGACATTGTAGACATTTGTTGCTAATAAAGGAGAATATTTGTAGACATTTGTTAGTTTTAACATTTCAGGGTTCAAGGATAACTTATCCAAAAGCTTGTTTAAATATGTACATTTGTCCTCATCCTACAGGAGATGGGGGATTTTTTTGAGTGGGCAGTTTTGTAAAAAAAAAATCAAAGGTGAACATTTTAAAAGTGGAGTTATTTTTGTTTTACAGCCTAAATCCCCCCCCCCCCGTTCTCTCCATATCACCTGAAATTAATTTTTACTGCCAAATGAAATATGAGAACTATCTTTTGTAGTTGTTCTTATATTTTATATTTGGAAAATGTTTTAAGCCCAGGGTTTACTTGCTTAGGGACATGGTGGCTCAGTGGTCAGGGACACTGAGCTTGTCAATCAGAAAGATGGACAGTTTGGCGGTTCGAATCCCTACCGCTGCGTAACGGAGTGAGGTTCCACTACTTGTCTCAGGTTCTGCCAACCTAGCAGTTCGGAAGCATGTAAAAATGCAAGTAGAAAAATAGGGACCATCTTTGGTGGGAAGGTAACAGTGTTCTGTGTGCCTTCGGCAATTTAGTCATGCCAGCCACATGAGATGTCTTTGGAAAGCACCGTCTTTGGAAAGCACCGGCTCTTCGGCTTTGAAAGGAAATGAGCACTGCCCCCTAGAGTCAGGAATGACTAGCACATATGTGCAAGGGGAACTTTTAGCTTTATCTTATTTGCTTGGATGGGGATATGGAACTTCTGGACATTAGCCCCTGCAATTTTATTATTTTAAGCATATGAAGAATGTACTGAACCAGATACAAAATGGCAGCTTTAAAGTCAAATAAAAGACTCCAATGGACCCTTCCTGGTACCATTCATTTTAGATACCTGGACTGTACTTTTCTAGGAGTGTCATTTGCATAGATTACTAGGAAGAATTTTCTTGTTAATCCACCCTTAATCCTAGAAAGTTCATCCAAAGCATGGCTTTCATCCAATATTATTTGTCTTGGTGTATTGTTTTTATAAAATTTTGGGCGAGTCTTTCTTGCACAGTAACATAGGGAAGGGCCTTTGGCTCGCAGGATCTCTTCTTTTTCTCCACATCCCTCAGCTGTGACTGGTGTCAAAAGCAAAACAAAACTCAGTAACAGCCAACATGGAGAGGCAGAACAAAAGGGTT